CTAAAGCTGTATAAGGAACTTTCCAGAACATTTAAAGGTCATGTGACACCCGTGTCACGGTGGGTCCTTATGGGTTAAAAATGACATATCCTCACCACGTTAAAAGTAAACCAATGATAACATCGTGCAAATAATCCAGAAGCAACTAAATCATATCAGTTTCCTTTTTATGTTCTGCTTTTGTTATCGTGGGAGGCGTGTGGTGCAGTGGGTTGTGCGTTGATGTTCGGATCAGGGGGGCACAGGTTCAAACCCCACTGCAGTCAGCATGTCGTTGTGTCCCTGCCAAGACACTTCACCCCAAATTGCTCCTGTGGGGATTGCCCACAGTATTGAGTATGTAAGTCACTTTGGATAAAAGCGTCTAACAAGTGACATGTAATGTAATCATTAATCATTTGGCCATGATAATCGTTTACCGTAAACCTTGACAGACCTTTTCCAAAGTCATCTGGTCATCTAAAAGCAAATTAAAAACCTATCTTTTGAATATGGCTTTTCATTTGGGTTAACTTTCAATTGTCACTAGTATCAGTGTCCATGTTTTACTGTATTTGTTTTCTGTTTTTCTTTGATTATACTTTTTTAATTTTGTTTTTTAAATTGTTTTATTTTAACATTTTATCACTGTAGAAGTTTTATCTTGTTCTGTATTAATTTTAATATTATTTTAATATTGTTATGTTTTCTGTAAAGCACTTTGGGCTGCTTAGTATGGGCTCAGAACAGTCTCATAATACACACATGCACACAGAAGGATTCACACTTGTATTTCACGATCCGCAAAAGCATTCACACTTGTATTTCCGGATCCACACTTGTGTTTTTCAATGCACACACAAATGTGTTCCGTTTCATATACATGTAAATAAAATCCAAATACAGAAAAAAGTTTTACATATGTATTTTTGATCCTCACATATTTGTTTTCCGTTTAAATCCCCTGAACCTGCAAACACAAACCGCTTTCTGTGCATGGATCGCTGTGCATTCGTGTGTGGGTTTTTTGAGACTCCCCTGACGGTCACCCGATTCGTACTTGTAATTTGTTCTATCTATAGCCAATCAGATGTCTCCTCAATTCTAAGCCAATCACATGAGCGCGCCCCCACGAGGGTAGATTTCTTGCGTTCATGTCACTTCATATACACATTTTGCGTAGCTAAAACTTCACTCGCGTTTATGTCCATATCGATCAGATCCAGCTCTCCTGATCGGCCTTTATAGAGAGCACCGATCAAACTATTAAGAGTGAATATCGGCCGATAATGACCGGCGGGGCTCCCCCCGTTGACAGTTCACTGTCTAGCACTGGCTTCGTAGTGCACTGATCGATTAGGCTAAGCTAACCTGTAGCTGCTCCCTCCACACTCACAACAACTTCATACAGACATAAATAAAGCAGCTGTAATCGCCATACAGGAAACACACATTTAAAACAGTTTTGCCTGCCGTTTTTGTGTACACAAGCATTCATTAATGGTTCGGAAAGTGGCACTGTACCTTAATAATATAAAGGCTTGTATTTGCGTGCATTTCCTGCTCGGAAAGTGGCAATGTACTGAGAGTGGAAGTGTCCTGAGATTAGCGCCTGCAGGCAGGCTCCATGGACCTGTCAGCTCCGGACAGCGCAAAATGCGTACATGAAGCGCTACGTCATGAACGCAAGAAATCTACCCTCGTGGGGGCGCGCTCATGTGATTGGCTTAGAATTGAGGAGACATCTGATTGGCTATAGATAGAAAAAATTACAAGTACGAATCGGGTCACCGTCAGGGGAGTCTCAAAAAACCCACACACGAATGCACAGCGATCCATGCACAGAAAGCGGTTTGTGTTTGCAGGTTCAGAGGATTTAACAGAAAACAAATATGTGAGGATCAAAAATACATATGTAAAACTTTTTTCTGTATTTGGATTTTATTTACATGTATATGAAACGGAACACATTTGTGTGTGCATTGACAAACACAAGTGTGGATCCGGAAATACAAGTGTGAATCCTTTTGCGGATCGTGAAATACAAGTGTGAATCCTTCTGTGTGCATGTGTGTATTATGAGACTGTTCTGAGCCCATAGCTTTGTGCATGAAAGGTGCTATACAAATAAAGTTTATTATTATTATCTGAGTACTTGCATCTTCTTGAGTACACATTGGGAACTAAGGCTATATAATACATGTATATATTTATTTTAATATAATGTAGATCTGGTTACTTGGACATAGTTTTAAGTATGTCTCGAGGAATACTGTTAGAAGGTAATCTGTACTTTGGAGACTCATGGTAAAAACACGGAAGTCCTCCTATGTCCCCCCCATTTGAACAACAAATAAATCAGTCAACACATGTTACATTAGTCCATTTAATGGAGACATTTTTGAGGTAACAGTACACAGGTGACTGTTGTCAGACAGAAGAGAAGTGCAACATGTTTTATAGTATTGCACACACCTGACACTGTATCTACCATACATATGCCTTTCACACCAATACACTGGTGAGGCTGGAACTTCAAGACAATCAGTGGTTACTGAATAATGAGTTGATTAATCAAGTATTTAAAATCATTATACACTCTTCTAGCATTCTGTACATGGGGTAGGCAGAAAAAATAAGAACAGTTTATATCACTACAGTATTTACACATGATTCCCATTACAGTGATGCACACTTTCTATCCTTAAGATACATGTACATTGATACATTGTTATTCTCTACTTCTGCATAGTGCTTTCAGTTCACAAATTTGGTCAGGGCGAAGGAGTGCGATCACACACCGGGGCTGAACCACAGCCAATCAAGCAACACTATTTCAATACACATCCTCAGAAAGGGTACCAGGACACACATCAGAGGAACACACACATTGGAGCCACTCAGTGTGGGTGGCTCCTGCCTGGTAAACAACTTTTTCATTTGCCATATCTGTTTCGATGCCAGGTGAAGAAACTCAATTTGGAGTTTCCAAATGTTGCAGTCAGTTCACAGCCATATCAAAGCAGCACTGATTCCAATACGAGCATCCTTTCAGTCCAAAACACCCAAAAATGATCAACTGTGTTTAGGTCAGAGCTGTATTTGAATAAACTTTATATTTTGTTGTATTATAATTCAAATCAAAACATAAATCTCTATTTCTTTTGAAGCCAAACTGTGATAAATACTGAAATGTCATGTATGGTGAGAGTTAGGTGGTTAGCAATTTATGTAGCATCTAACACGCTAACATTTGTCAAGTCACCATTCAGTCTGCTCCTCTGCGAAGCTCTGCAAGTTTGATGCTTTCTCAAGGGTTCAACCTTTACTATCATTTACCAACAGCAATAGTAAGATACTGGTTCATTCGAATAAGCCTTTCTGTCAGCACACATTTAGATTGTGTCACGGCAGGAGAAGCACAGGTGTTGCTAATGACGCTAACGATGTTGGCATGTACGATACCAGGCACCTAAAATCAAAGCAGCTAAATGGGATCCAGCCATCGTTAGTTTTATCATTAACACCTGTGCTTTTACATTTGGGACAAGTCAAATTGTACTCTGCAAAAAAAGTCACATTTAGATGACTTAATAATCAAAGGGGTGTCAGTTTTTGTGTCCTAAACAACACACGTGTCTTCTGACAACTCAATCAGCACGGAGTTTACAAACTAATATCATTCAGTATACATGAAATATTGTTAAGAAAGGAACAAGTCTTAAATCTCGTGAAATACACTTGTTTCCTTCCAGCAATTTCCTTAATTGAATGTTAAGTGTAATTCAGCACAAAGACTTGAAAAGCTGTGGGTGTTTCTCAATGTCGAGTAAAGCTGCTCCAGAGCCACTATTTCAAGCACACTACGTCATCGAGTGCCGCCGAAGGACTGTTCCAATGTCCAGCTAGCATACTTGGAATTCTACCGAGCCCGGCGTACTTCGTAGCGAGAAATTTCGAGGCTGGACATGTGTAGACTCCGCGGTCTTAAAATCCCCACAATGCTTTGCGCACGGACCAATTTCCCAAAATCTGTGGCGGAAAATGTAAGAGGCGGGGCCTCTTGTATGACGCACACCTGCACACTTGCTCGCCTGTTCCACTCTTCGTTTTCCGCTTGCCAGGAAGGATTCTTGCCTCGCTTCTGAAGCAAGTGACTCGGAAGACATGTGCTACCAAGCAAGCGTCCTCGACATTGAGAAACACCCAGTGTGTAGTCAGCCTGGATTTTTGGACAAACTAAGGTCATGTGTCCAAAGTATTCCAATGAATTCCACCTTTCCTTATTTTATCTCCCAATATATTTGTAATATAGTTTGAGAGAAAATACTTAATCCCTCCATTTAGATCAATATAATTATAATACTATGATTTATAAATATATATTGAATTAAAATACATACAGAAAAAAATAAAGACATGAGATCTCCGTCCTCAATGGTAGCTACTTTGGGTAAAACATATATGTGTATCTCTAGCCTGTAGCTTTTATATCACAAAAATATGTATTTATATCTGTATTTGCAGAGGGCCACTGTGAAATGTAAACAAATAAAATAAAATAAAAAGAAAGCCTTTGAATAACACTTGCTGGAAGTGGTGCTACAAAGCCATGCTAAGATATCAGCACATTATTAAATCATCATGATATAGATTGATTGTATAAAATTGTATTACATGAAAAATAATAAATATGAGAAGATATTTCATTTGTTTTCTAATCTATGAAAGACGTGATTATGTTTATGATGGACGTGAGAGGCTGTTGATAGTGTTTCAAAATGTGCTTCAAGTGTTACCAGCTTTTCCTTAATATAATGCATGATATCTGGGGGCTTTCTTATAAATAATCACCATGAATATAGTTTATAAATTAGATATTGCACACAATCATCCCACTGTCAATTTTCAGATATACTCATTAGCTCCACCATTTCTATCCGATGTTCTCTTTCGACCAATCAAATGTAAGGGTGATGACACACCAGTGTGACTCATTTCTCTTAATGTTGCCTATTAACACCTAATGTAAGACCATCACCTCATCATAAGCTACAGCTAACTGATGCTTCGTGCACTCCTCCCCATGTGACAGCATTCCACACTTTGATAATCCGATCGTTTCATTAATGCGTTTGTCCGAAGTCACTCGGACAGTGATGTTGTCAAAATGAAATAATATGCAGGTGATGACGGCGAAAGTATACTGGTTAGTCCACATTTTAAAGAGGAAGTCTGAGGAAGATTCGGTGAAGGACTTGGCCACGCGGTCTGCATTATCTGAGGTCAGAGCGTGTCGTTGCGTCTAGTCAGCGTAGATGATGAACCCAGAGAAGGTGCTGTACTTGTTGTTGTTTCCTCCGTGAGCTTTGCCCCCGTCGAGTTTGATGTACACCTCGTCTCCTGGCTCCAGGTGCAGCACGGCGCTGTTACTGGCATAGTCATAGTTCTGGTCCGCATCCTGGGCGATGGCACTGGCACGCACCTGCAGGGATGCACACACACACACACACACACACACACACACACACACACACACACACACACACACACACACACACACACACACACACACACACACACGCACACACACACACACACACACACACACACACACACACACACACACACACACACACACACACACACACACAGTTACACATTAACACTCAAAAGCACAACTGAAATCACACATCTTGGAGGGTGGTGCACCTTGTCTACACTGGACACTTTCAGACACTAACCAAAGACCGAAAAACTAACTACACAAATAGTATTCGATATAATTTGCTTGTGATTTAAGTGTTGGATTAAGAAATAGAATATAACAGAGTTTTTAGTTCGATTCTCAAAATAATAACAAGCTTCAGAGATTTTTTCGTTCCAGTAAATACCCCACTGTTGAATGTCTGAAGCTTCATTACGACGAACATTAGCCGCCTTTAGCTTTGCGGAGTTTGACGCAAAGTCATGTGACCGCGTTTTATAGCCTAACATTAGCTTACTGCTGGCCATTGCATTTATGCTTTAACTAACAAAGGTGGTGTTAATGTGTGGAGATTATCCTGCTGAACAAAACGTGGAAGTATCATAAAAGTTTGTTTGCCACAGATCTTATTTTCTGTATTCAGCCCTACCATGCTAACTTCCGGGTTCGCCTACAAATATACGTAATCACTGCTCCACTCTATAGAATGAGAGTAAAAGGGACTTGTTTGCAATGATCTCTCGATTGGTTTTAAAGAAAAATGGCCATTGTGTTAGTTGGGCTTTACATCAAAACCAACTCAGAGAAAGTTGTGTCAAAGGAAAGCAGAACAGAAAATATTAGCAGAGATTTAACTTAATGGTAGTGCACATGTTTCGCCTCTATGAGGTCGCAGGGTTCCTTCTCCAACATCTCCAAGAGTTTGGTTGTCCTGTTGCTCACGTCCATCAAGGCTACCCTCTGTTGTGGCTCCACAGTGGCTCTAATGAACTCTGCACCAAGGTCAAGACAGCAGTCACTGCAACACCCTCAACCACACGCTGAAAACCAAGCCTACATTTATTATAGTTTCTTAAAACCACCTTTTCAGACAATGCCTACACACAAAATATACAAATATTGTGAACACATGTTTAGCTGTACATGTATGTGGGTTGCTTCTGATATATGATGACAGCTAGCTCTTGTTCAATGAATGGACAAAGGCCATTAGGGATATATTGACCTCTCTAGCAGGGTTACATTACCTTAAAGTAATCAAATAATATAACCATATGATATTGTTAAGATAACTCATTGTCTAATAACGGCCTTTGTCTTACTTTTGGCCTGCATACCACCCTCTTTAACACAATCTAATTAGGACCATAATGTCAACTGAAGCAGCTGGAATAAGCAGAGCTGAAAATATGTTCATGAACATTCGGAAAATACTGTAGCAGCAATTCACATGAGCCCGTTTTATCGTCTTAATGGCTGATCACTGTGCTTTGCCTTGAAGAGGGAACAGAGGGAGACTGTAAATACATCCCTGGTGACGATTTAATTGCATCACTTAAGGTCAGGTCCCTGGGTTACAAAGGGATACAGCATAGTGATACTATACAGGGCTTGGAATCTATGGTAAAACGACAGAATATGACTGACATGACATGATTTTTAAATTGGATTAATCTGATTTAAATCTGACAAATCCTAATCTTATCATTTAGTCTTCTGCTCTCATGTTGGATAATCCTTTCAGTAAAATGCTCGATATCCTGAGAGCCTGATCTTTACCAGGTTCCCCTCTTAATAACGCACACAGGAAGCATAAAGCATCTTTCCTGAGAAGCTAGTTATTTTTTTATCTGGTGTACCAATCCAATAAATCTGCACTTATTTTTACCAGCAGTTTATAACAATATCCCAGGGTTGGCAGGCACAGAGGTGTTAATCTCAAGTTGTTTTTAAACGGCAGACTTTCCCATTTGTCCGTTAGACACACATTCGTTTTACTGACAGCAGGTACCATCTTCTTTAAATGTCTCACATTGTCAAAAGGTGGGTTTCCATGTCTATTTTTTCCCATAAAGCAGGACTAGGTGCTATATAAATACTGTGGAAATGATCAAAATGCTCAATCCACAGGGAGATATAAACAGCCTGTGCCTTCAAATGTGCTTTCATGACTTCTGTAAGGTTGTGATGTCCCATCTATAGATAGAAAGACACGCTAGAGTGCCATTACAGTCATTTCGCTGGCAAACAGTGATTACAATTTTTGACAAATAGCCAAAATAAACAAATGAAAAATAGCCATCAAATTGAGGTAGGGCAACATGCAACCACTTGGCATCGAATCCGTGCAATCTGCTTTCATTGCCAAAGACTTTGGGCATGATTGATGTTGTTTTCCCACACTTGTTGCACTTGAAATTGCGAGTATAGGCTAATCCTACGTAGCAGAATATCATTTGATGATTTGGTCCCTGGCCAGAAATTGTGGGCATTGCCAAATGGCCCATAACTATTTGGCTATTGGGCCATCTGCACATCCCAACATTTTTTAACAGTCATTCAGCTCAGCCGGACTCCAGCTGACTTTATTTCAGATTCTACAGCCCTCGGTTTGGTCCAGAACAGAGGAGCTCGACTCCCTGACCTCCTCTTGTAAAAGTAATATGACCTTCGCTGTGGGAACCCTGGCCGCCCAGCTGAATTCATTCATATTCTCTCCTGTTGGACACTGTGACTCCCAATTGTGAGAGGATATATACTTCAGCAAGCTTTGAGATCTTATAGTGAGTTAAAACAACATGATTTTAGCCCTGACTTTCCAATAAACAACAACATTTATTATAGATTGCCAACAAAAGCCCCACACCAGACGCATGTCAGCGCTTGCTCCTTCTTGTTGAATGAATATTTGCCTAATTACCATCTTGGGTATTGTTTTTTTTTTTTAAATGCGTAGTGCTGGTGGAAGAAGTCCTGCATTAAATGTATTTGTATTAAGTTTAAAGAGCCTCGTATGCTTAGCAAGTACTCATTATGCAGCTGAATTGACTGTGTCCAATTTATATTTTAAAAACGTATATGATTGGGATATTATTTTAGATTTGGCGGCGCCTGCATACAGAGGACGGGACAAAGACAAAGATGGCTTCAGCACATCTGTTGACAGAATCTGGGGAAATAAGAGGCTGCTCAGCTTCACCTTCATCTGGCAGCCTGCGCCTCCACGCTGAGTTTGTCATCAATCCTAGTCTAATAACAGCACATTATTATTGGTGCCTATTAAAATACAATCTGATAGTATAGCTTTTACACACATTCTGATTTATTATTTGTCTTGTATGCAATGACTGCCAGATGTCTCCAGATGTTATTCAAAAGGGAGAGAGTCAGAGTGTCTTCGTAAAGCATGTTACCATCACCGGTTCAATTCCTGCCACGGGTCCTTTGTTGCATGTCAAACCCCCCAATTTGCAGTCTGTCTCAACACTGTCAAACAAAGTCAGGAAAGAGTGAACAACTCTAGTTTCAATATTTGAATCTCCATGTGAATTCATCACTCTGGGGGTTTCCTTAAAATAAGTCAAAACTATGCCAGTGACTAATTAAAGTGTATGATCATTTTAGAAAAGTGTAAACAAGTAGGATGTTTACACCAGGACAAAAAAATGTGGGTAAAATTGAACTATTTAAATAAAAAGCAAATGCATTGATTTTAATATGGATCATATTCCAAGGCACTGGGGAGTTCCTTCATGTGTTGATGATGTTCACAGTGTTTTCCCTCTCTGACCAAAAGCCACATAGTTCTTATTGAAACCTGTGTTGGAGCAGCATCTGATTTGTCACGGTGTGTGGCTCCACTGGTTTAATCCCAGACATGTTTGCAGTGTTCTGTCTGCAGCAGCGTTTCAGCAGCGGGCTGACAGCGGGGGGATCTGCTTGGTGGAGCGACGCTGGAAACTCTGGTTTGCCCCGCGGATTAGATCTGCTGCTGACAGGCTGATCACTGAGAGCAGGACACTGTGAGGGAACACACAGCCGAGCACACAGGCAGCAAAGGGCCCCTCCCCCCCAGGCCTTATTATTGTTTTATTTATCAATTACTTCTTGCACTAAATAAATTATTCTACTATTTTATCATGACTTTATAGTGTCAGCCAGCAAACAATTAGTGGCTGCAGGTTTTTTTCTGAAATCCTCCAAGGAACACTTTCCAGATATTGCGCAGGTATTTAAAAAAGCTGACTGCACATTTTACATGAATGCCTTAACATAACAATATTTTATAAACTAATGAACTAAACTGGAAAGGAGCTGGAAAACACTTGACATTTTTAACAGGATGCTTTGGGGAGTCATACAGATACAAAAAAAAAAGTGTACATTTTTGTCTTGTATATATTAGAATATAATGCATGCATGGTGTTTGATATAATTAACATATTTTATTACAATTCTTTAGGTCCTATTAACTTTACCATTTTTAATGCATGACTAAGTTGAGTGTTTTTAAATTGTGGCCTTTCTATTTTACCTTTACAAAATAAGGTCACCATGATTATTGGGCGAGATGGAAAAGATTGAGAAATGTTGAGATCACAGAGAAACCGCCCCTTTTGTTCTGATTTAATGAAAATTGAAAATGGCTAAAGAGAAACCAGATGAAATGAAGATCATATATCAGATGTGCAAAAGGCCACAGGGCTCCGCAGCACTGCTGTCCTGTGGATTCATTTTACACTCTTACAGAGAGTTCAGGGACACTTAATCTTCAGTTCATTTACCAAATGTTAGACAGCCTCTGCACAGAGAGAAGTCTGAGCACTCTGTTCAGACTCAGTGACGGAGAAAGGCTACCCTGACTCATAAGGGCCACAGTAACAGTAATTACCCATCTCCTCTTCAGACCCTGACCTCAGACTCTCTGTCCTATTAAGACCATTGACCTATGGTCCATTACCTACCACACACACACACACACACACACACACACACACACACACACACACACACACACACACACACACACACACACACACAAAATAATAACAGCTGCTCTTAGATGCCTGAACTGCAGTCAATAGTTCACTTTATATCAGGCCGTATCTGAGATATGAAGGCTATAGGTGAATTAAATAAAGTGGTAACTCCATTAGCTCGTGCATAACAGGTTTATAAAACAAAAACAATAACCTCTTACAACTATAACTATGGTAGATTGTGAGCTCAGTTTGTTACCTGGTTGTTTTTGCACAGATCTGCCCACATGCTGGTTCCGTCTCCTCCGCGCATCAGGACGTGGTAAGTGAAGAAATAAATCCCGGGGATGGAGCATGTGAACTTCCCCGCGTTGGGGTCGTAATGGTTTCCCAGGTTGGTCACCACGTCGTCAAACTTGAGCACTTCGTAGCCCTCGTGCTGCTTTTTGAGCCCTGCGTAAAAGGCGATCTTTGGCACGGTGCTGTAGGTGGCCGCGCTGATCGCCCCTGCAGCTCCCCCGGACCCCGGAGGTCCCGGTAACCCGGGTCTGCCCGGCTCCCCTCGGTCTCCAGATGGCCCCGCTGGACCGGGATGCCCCGGCTCACCGGGAGGTCCCCTCGGTCCTGCCTTACCCGGACGACCCGGTTCCCCTTTTGGACCTTGGATAAAAGTGGGTAAAGACTGCACGAGACCGTTGTCTCGGGCCGGGTCCGACGAGGCAGTGCTGGTGGGGGGTTTGGTTCCGTACGGGTCGCACACCATCCTGCAGGTGCCGAGCATCTCATAGTGCGCCGCCGTCCCCGCTGAGTTGACCAGAACCGGGATGAGGATGACTAGAACCAGGACCATCACGACCCCCAGGACCCCCGCCGCTACTAGCCGTTTCCTGCCGACCAGCCGCGTCAGCGCAGGACGATCCGGCTGTCTGCTTTTGGGTGAAATGTTGCTGGCTGGAGAGGTACCCTTTAAAGAGAAAAAATGTGTAGCGACGCTACACTTAGTATGTTTAATTAACTTTTTAAAGCACAGCCCCCCTCCCCTCGCGTCCTCGTCCCTCTCCTCTCCTCTCCACACTTTTTCTGCTGATGTGCGGAGTCTCTCTCAAAGTTCTCACTGGTCGCTGATTTTCAAAAGCTCTGGATTCAGCATCTCTGAAATCCAGACTCGGGGTCTGGCCCCTCTTTGATCCACAGGTCCCCCAACAAAGTGTTTATACAGCAGCTGCACTCTTAAGGTGGATCAGTCTGTCTGATACAGAGCTGAGAGGGAGTCAAAGCACATAAACACAGGAGGAGAGAGAGAGAGAGAGAGAGAGAGAGAGAGAGAGAGGAGAGAGAGGAGAGAGAGAGAGAGAGAGAGAGAGAGAGAGAGAGAGAGAGAGAGAGAGAGAGAGAGAGATAACAGAGAAGATCCTGATGCTCTGTCCTCCAATAGAAAGAGGGCAGCAGGGTATCACATAGAGTAATACACAGGGTTAGGTAATTTTATCTGACTCCAGATATACTTTAGGCAGATAAGATTCCTCACAATTTATAGTGTTTATTGAGGACTCCCACACATTAGCCACTGCTCTATGACATCTGTTAAATCTGTCTTTTGAAATGACTGTATTGGTACTTTTACTTCTGTAAAGGTAAATTGTCTGTCCCCAGTATTCCCCTGATAAAATGACGCTTCACTACCAAACTTATTAGACAAGCTGTGGCTGTCAAATTCTATAAAATGCCAATGCTCAATAAACAATGACCCTACTGATGTCAAAGCTGATAAATATTTGGACAGACCCCTCTGTCACTGACGCTCTGGTTCTTGCTCTGATCATGATTTTATTGCTTTGTAAAGCACTTTGAAACTTTTGTGTTGAAAACTGCTCTGAATAAAGTTCATGAATATTATCGTTATTATTACTGTGTCCACTCTCAGTCCCTGGACTTGTTGTGGCTCGTATAAGCCCTCCACAGCAATTCATCATTCAGCGTGCAGATATTGAGTGAAGTGCCAATGCAATGATCCTCCGTTACCTTCACAGCTCATTTTCAGGGACTCTCGATAAGTGGACGTTTGGAAGCCTAATGAAGCCAGAGGAACGAGGTTTGATTTTAGTCACATCGATACCGCCTCTCATTGCCTCTGTGTTCTCCTGTTCCACAAGACAAATGACTCTGTTCATATCTGTAGATTCAGGTATGGATGGTATGGACATGTCCCTATAGGAAAGTCAAAACACTGCCAAATTGTCCCGATATTCCACCAGATATGAAATCATTTGCCATTTTAAGTCCGCACAGTGTATCGCATTTACCTCTGATGCACAGATTTTGATCCTGATCATTTTTTAAAGCTGATTCTTGCGAGTCACCCACATTTTTTAAGTGCAATACTAAATCACTAGAGTTCAGGTGTGTTGTTCCGCTTTCATTTCCCATGACAATGGCAACAATCCAATACTGACAACAACAAGATCAGTGCTGCTGTTAACAAAATGTTTTTATGCTTTTCTGTATTTTTCTAAAGGTACATGTACGAATAGATTGTTTCGGACGAGTTTAGGCTAAACATGCAGTGGTTTGTTGTATTGGGGTATCCAGTAAATGAACACGTTATCAAACACCAACTGTAAATCTGCTCAAAGACTGTAGGTCAACCTTTTGAGAAAACAGGGTATATGAATTGTTACCATACAATTAGAGATACAACGTCCCACGAATAGATACGTTTAAAATCATTAAAGGGGCCCTATTCTGCTCATCTTCAGGTGTATATCAGTATGTTGTGTCGCTGATGCACATGTGTCAAACTCAAGGCCCGGGGGCCAAATCAGGCCCGTGGTGGATTTAATTTTGGCCCGCAGGATAATTTTTAATTACTATTAGATCTGGCCCGCCGGTATATTGCACGCACACCTTCACTCCATCCTGAGGGTCTCCTCAGCTCAGAGCCTGAGCCCAAACATTGATGACCTTGCACCCAAGATGAGATGCCAAGTATCTGGCTTGAACTAGCATCACAGAGCAGCAAACTGAGTTTCAATGGATGTTTCCTTCTGCACTTTTTCTCTCACGACAACAGGGCATGTTTGGTTTTTTCTTTGAGGGAAATAGTTTTTTTGAAGCTGTTGTTGGCCTGTGGGAAAATGTAATCATAAGAAATGACTCTGGAAAAGCTGCAGATAGATCCATAAGAAATGAATGCAACTGATTATTTAATGTTTAATGTTGTTTTTATAGGCAATCATTTAAGCTTTGTTAGTTCCAGGTTTAATATGTGCAATAAGTTCATTTCAATAAGTTCTGCAATAAACATTGAACCAGTCCGGCCCTCGACTAGCACCCATTTTTTTATTTTGGCCCACTGTGTATTTGAGTTTGACACCCCTGCTCTAATGTGACATGTCTCCATGCTTTAATGTTCAAAAAGCTCTTTATTTTTCTCATACTGCCTGTGCTGCAGCACCTCTTTTCACCCTCTGTCTGAAACCAGAGCTCTGATTGGTTAGCTGGCCGGCTCTGTTGTGATTGATCAACCGCTTAGAGATGTCCTGCCCCTTAGCCTATCACGTACAATGAGTTGGAGCGCTAGCCAAAAGAAGCGCAAGTGTTACATAGTGATGCTGCTATGTTACAGGAGCAACAAGACAGCAAAACCTGTGGAAATATGAAAAGGAATTGGACACAATATGAAATAAAACATTTGAAATTAATTAATGTTTAACGACAGATGTTTGCCTTTGCTCTGTGTAAATGCTGCGGTCATTAAAGCAGCAGCTGTATATCAGCGGCTCATCCTCTGGTGGGCGGGGGCTTGTTTCTCTGCCCTGTGTCACCACCCTCATTAAAGTGGCACTGTGCAGCCCACCTTAGACAATCGAGCCTGCCCTAACACACACGCCACCTATAAATCACCTCGTGAAAATCAATGGGCTTTAGTTAGCCTGGGACTCATTGTGTCCTTGGAAAGGTGTGAGATGAATTGAGATGAAGTGAAGACAAAACAGGAACAACATCCACAGAAAAGGGACGGAGTGCAGGAGTGAATGTTTTACACTTCAGGGTGGAGGTAATACTTGGTTACATATAGGTCACCTTTATTTGATCAAAGCTGACATGTTTCATTTTACATTTATTTACAGCCTGTGCTTTTAAACTGGTGAAACAGTTGAAAGTCAACAGAGGATGAGTCAGGCTGCCATTATGACTTTCTCTCAGAGATGGATGGAGGTCTTAAACTAAGGCTACCGTATCGAATGTTGTTTTAATTCAGGAAACTTTGGAAACCCCGCCTTCTTATCAGCCAATTACATTAAAACCCCAAGCATGACTGCATTTAGACACATCTTACAATTCTTATGGCTTATATTGTACCGTATTATGGTTCTGAAATAGATGACACAAGAGAAAACATTGATTTTCATTGTTTAATATAATATTTTGTAAGTGTTCAATACAGTGAGCATGATGTACTTTCAGTATATTTTTGGCCTGTGATAGAAGCACAATGACTTTAAAACATGATTACAATAAATCAGCTTCGGTACAGGCTGAAATGTGACGGACACTTGGTGAAGCTTTCAAAGTAACACAAAGAGAAAGTGAAATTGAAGGCAGAGAGACTCTCAGGGACCAATTCACCAAAGGATTGTTCAGCAGCATCAATCGTACAAAAAGAGACGGCAGGTAACTTTCAAAGCACCCGCAAAAACGGTGACATGCACCCCTTATTACACAGCCAATTTAAATCAGATGATATGCATTCATTTGGCGCAAAACTCACCTCTTTCTATGCAAATGAGCCTAATTACGAAAACAGTCCAATTTACAAAGATGCCGCTAATAGCCTCACGGAGTTAAAGTGAAATATTAGCATCTGCAGAGAGGTTTCGGAAGCTGGAGCACTTAAAAGAGTCCAGTGATCGTATTAGACCCGAATCTGGTTTCTTCCGTTTGCGTTTAAACTCCTCGACTTAGGTTTTGAAGAATGCGTGGGCATTCTTGTTCTGCCTTCAGTGTTCTTGGTGCAAAGGCAACATTTACTCTTAATGATAATTGCAGTCAGACGCAAAAAAGGGCAAATTGCAATCAGCTGCGAGAGGTTTTCATCATGCGGACGCAATCCATTCTGTGTGAATCGGCCCCTCAGTGCTCTCAGAGATTGAACACAGTTAATGGCAGGTATCACTGAGTCAGACTGCTTCTTCAATCTTACAGACAATAGTACAAAATTATTTGAATAGATCGTCAAATACAATAAGCTGTCTTTCCATCTGGCATTGATTCGGAACTTGCTGCTCTTTTCTCAGTCATATCTTTACATCAAAAACAATCATAACTGTAACCACGTCTAAATGACCCGCACATGTGTTAGTAGAAAATGCATTTCCTGTAGAGAATGTGTGTGAATACTGAAAGCTAAAAATAAAGTGCACAGCATTGGTGAAAAGGCAGTAATGTGAAAGAAATGTGTTTTCATTGGTGAAATAAAGGTTGAAGTGTGAAACTGGCAGAATTTGAAGCTAACGGCATTACCTAAAGAAGAGCTAACATATATACTTTTTCATGTGACGCGTTTTTAAATAAAGCCTGCCGCTCACCGTTAGCTGAAGAAGAAGAACTTCAAGGGGTAGCGGGTGTGAAGAGAATTAGAAAATTCCTTTAAAAAAAATAAAAAGCTTCATATTTCATTGAAGGTAAAAAAGTTGAATTCAAGGTTAATGAACGCCTTCTGGAGAATAAAGGGTTAGAACAATGGAGTGAATGTTGCCGAGTCAGCAGAAATGTGGACATCGAGCTGCTGTGAAGTGACGCCGCGGCATCAAGAGGACATCTGTCGTTTTTAGACTACTTTTACTTTTGATTATCATTCAAACGAAAAGCTGGACTTAATAGTTGAATATTATCCTTTGGTATCATAGCAGTTTAACAGCCGTGTATGTCCTTATCATTTAAGTTAAAGTACCTTTTTAGGATGATTATAATACATTCTTACTTTTGAGTCTAAATTCTGTTGGTGTTATCACTAGTCTGAGCATTGTTAGTAAGTAGCACCGAAAACAAAAATATATATATACTCAGGCACAGTGGAATACAGTCCAAACAATATTTAACACGTTCAGAAACATAATCCATACATTTCAATGTAATACAAAATGTCTTAAAAAAGAGGGAAGAAAAAGGCACATGCAGTGAGTTTGACCGGCATCGACTCCATCTTTGTTTCCTCTCTATTTGTTCTTGGCGGCCAGAGGTTTGCGGCTGATCTTCTTGCTCTTATCGTTGTTCTTCTTCGGTGGTTCTGGGTTAGCCTGCATGTGTCTGCCGTAGAGACTGAGGAGGAAAAAGGGGAAGAGAAAAAAACAAGTGTTGAGTGGAGAGGGGGGGGGGGGGGATGAAAGGCAGTTGTTGTACCGTTTGCGAATAGAATAATTGTCTCTTTATGTTTCAAACATTATCATATTCCTTTTTATACTGTCTTCTTCTCTTAGTGCCCACCATCACCCATCCAGGCAATTTAACTAATACAACTGCAGGTGTCAGCAGCATCACTGGCACGCTGTGACGAATAGTGTCCGACAGTTTAATTGGAACAAACACACAAACACCAAATATCCACACGGCACACATAGAGTCATTACTTATTAGTGTCCGTTACCACGGGCACACGGACAGTGTCTCTTCCACCCCACCCCCACCACCATCACACACACATACGCACACACCACCTCTGTCTGTCACTTTTTCTCTCCCATGGGTGTCTCTTGCTCACAAGCAGCAGAGCTCATTGGAGTGGAAAAGACTTATTCTTCAGTTCAGTCTCTCTTTGCTTTTCCCCACAGCCTGTTAATAATTGTGTCTTCTTTTTTCCTCCTCTCATTGTATTCATGCTTGGCCTGGGTTTAAAACAAGCTGACTTTAAAAACTGGGGAATGTAGGAGCCTGCCCAAATAAATCAGATAATACAATAAACAGTGTGTATTGTAGCCTGTTTGTATAGATCATTGGTCGTAGGGCTAAGTTGCTTCATTTCCATCCGGTAAGTTCATTTATTGATAAGTCAACCCATGTTTTAAGAGAAAGCTGGTTTGAAAACTTGGATAACGATAGTGCAAACAGTCATCCTATTTCACAGCCAATTAAAAATATCAAAAAGTCCACACACACATTTCTCAATCGAGTAGCAGTCTCCAAATATCCACTGTCCACCCACATGCTCAGTATATTCAAAATCCTCACACTTGCCACTTGCTTCTTGTCCCTTCTACCATAACCTATGGTTCCAGAAGAGGAAAACTAATACATAAACATCCCTTTAAATAGCCTGTAAGTGATGGTATGAGTACACACACACACACTGAGGATGCGTTTATACAAATCCACAGTGGTGTAACTGTCACTCTATGATTGAAGTGTCTTGTACTTTCCTCTCCTCTCCCTGCCTCCATCCCATGTCAACACTCGCACTTGGGAATTAAGTGCTGCCAAAGCCCATAATATCTGCTGCCCATCAAACCCCCAGCAGGCCGACGGCAGAGACAGACAGACGGAGACACAAAGAGGAAGGGGGCGGGGGGACGACACAGACACAGCCAGAGGAGTGTTTGAGTTTGCTTTAAATGTCTCTTACTGTTCCTCTTTTAAAAAATCTCGCCCCAGCTGCTCTCAAACTGTGTGTAAGTGTTGCATTACGGTCTGCTGTCTGCAGGGAGACACATTTGACAGAGAGCGGTTTAGACAAAGTGATGCTGGGACTCTGCAGAACCTCCTGCCCCCGTCGGATGGGGGGCCAGGTCCCAGAGGAGAGGTGGTGGGGGGGGGGCAGAGTCTGGATCAGCCGGGGCCTGGGGACAGTTGACAGCTTTTAGCCATGATAGTGGCTGTAGTCTAGGGATGGCATTGGCAGTTTATATGCCGTTAATAACCCTGCTAAATCCTCAGAACTGTTACGGGACGTGTATTTTGTAAATTGTGTAACTTTTTTTACATAATGTTTTTTTATGCATGCTTCTTAGGTAGCATATTAAGCTCTATTTGGCTCTTTTCTGCTGTAACAATGTACATTTCCCCTCTGTGGGACTAATAAAGGTATTCTGATTCTGATTCTATCACTTTGGTCCGGACTGAAATAACATTACATATCATTTAGCCAACGCTTGTTGTATCCAAAGCAACTTAAATACACTTCGATTCCTTTGTGCCTACGGTAGCAATTACAGGGTTAAGTACCTTGCTTTAGGACACTTTGACATTTTTTTTTGGGATGTGCGATATTAAGTAGGCAGATGAACTCAAACACATCATGTTACAATTATTTTGCTGCTTGCTACAAAAGGAAAACTCGCGCGGCTCTCATGTCAGGGGTACTTGAGTGAGTGACATGCAGACTCTGCATGCACAGAAAACCACCAATCACAACCATTCTTGATCAGATCACAGCAGGATAACCGAGCTAGCTCAGCTTGTTGCTCTGATAACTTGAGATCCAGAAGTCCGTGACTAAAATCCTTCATCCGGTTAAATATTGTTAAAAAAATACCAATTGTATAGCATTAAAGTTCAAGAAAGGATGGTTTGTGGTCTTTTCTTCAATTCCTGTATTTTTTCATATCGCAATATATATCGCAGGGGAAGAAAAATATCGCAATGTCAGTTTTTTCCAATATCGTGCAGCCCTAGTATACACCCATTTTGTCCCTGAGCCACAGCCACCCCGAAATATCTCCACAACTTCAAGATTAATTGGCATTTTTTTGTACATTCATGGACCCCAAATGATGAACCCTACTAGCTAACTGTAGCTCCACCAAATCAGCAGATTTTCCTTATAGAAAGTTAAATACTGAACTTTTGTGTAACGACCAACCGCCCAAGAAGGAAATCCACCTGTCCTCCTGTCGCAAAAAAAAATAGCTCTGATAATTTCAGGACAGTGAGACAACTGTTGAGCATCACCGAAAAAAAATCAAGTCAGTAAAATGCCATTGGAAGAAAGTCACAATTCAAATAGGATCCTAATTCTTTATTTATCCCTATGGGAGAACATGAGTACCCTTATACATATAGGACAGAGTGAGAGAAGACAAACATGTCTAAGTAATACAAAAATAAGAGGAGAGCATACCACCGTGATAAGTAACTAACAGTGATTTATTATTCGTTTTTACATATAGCCAATTTGTGCATGTATGTGGACCGGAGGAAGCAGAGAGAACACAAGCAGAGGTGTAATGATCAGAGGAGGACGCTGGTGACTGATTGTGTGCGCTCCCTTTAAGAAAAACCAGATTATTCATTTAGTCAATAAGTGGCCAATGCGGCACACTCAGTGCTGTCATAACAAGCTACTGTTAGCATAATTGTGGCTTCCTAGCGTTGATGGATGAGTGGAGGAAGGAAAGATGGAAAGGGAAGAGGAGGGGAATGATCAGTCAGGACAACATGAATCAATGTGAAGAGGGGAGAATAATGCAGCCTAATTGATGATGGAGTGTTTGCTCAAAAAGGGATGTTTATGAATGTTTTTTTAATCACTTCTAGTATGTACAGAATGTGTTGCCATGTTGTTAAGTCATACTATTGACAGTTGAAGACACAAAGGCAAGCATGAACAGAATACTACCTATTTAAAAAGCCTTATTTATCTTTTAAAAATGGTCCGTATATGTTTAAATTGTATAACCAGTGTTGTGCTGGAAGTATCAAGTGGTGAGTAAGCAGGATTTTTGAGAGGTTTTAGTATGAGTAGAAAGAAGTGAATATAATCAAGAGACAACCTGAAGGGTGCTTCTATCTGCAATTTGCACGATGAATGTTTTTTATTTTAGAATTTGTTAGACCCGCATAATCCTGCTTTTGCCTCATCTGCCTGACGAGGTTTCCACATCTCACGGCGCACTATATTGTGTCTTTAAATTGAAGTATTATGCTAAAATGCACGTAGTGAAAGCCCCGTCTTCCTCTCTTATTCTTAATGAAAATCTATGGCATTGTAAAAACTAACAGAAGACAATTAGTCCCAACGACACACACACACACACACACACACACACACACACACACACACACACACACACACACACACACACACACACACACACACACACACACACACACACACACACACACACACACACACACACACACACACACACACACACACACACACACACACACACACACACACACACACACACACACACACACACACACACACACACACACACACACACACACACACACACACACACACACACACACACAATGCTTTTATCCTAGCGAAACAACACTTAACAGTTCTAGCTAAAGATCAACATAAAGATTTCCCATTTCATTTACGTCTGCTGGTGTGTGTGTGTGTGTGTGTGTGTGTGTGTGTGTGTGTGTGTGTGTGTGTGTGTGGCTCTAGTAATGAACTGTTAAGGCCAATTAAATGCAGAAGAATGGAGGAGAATGGATTCAGATTCCTGATGATGTCTTTATGGAGCTCTGCTATTCCACACGGCTTAATTAATCATGGCAAAAGTCTGCCCTGTGTGTGTGTGTGTGTGTGTGTGTGTGTGTGTGTGTGCGAGATTGAAAGTTGGTATGTTCTTTTCTTTATCGGGATATGTGTATGTGTGAGTGCCTGTTTGATAAATGCGCAGGGAGGCCAAAGGCCATCGATCTGATGGGGGGGGGCCTTCCTCTCACCTCATCTTCACCAGAGCTACAAAGCAATTCAGTAACTTCCTTTACAGCCAGAGAAACATTAAGGAGAAGAAGGAGGGAAGCGGTGAAGATAAGGACGAGCAGGGAGGGGGAGTAAAAGGCAGAGGAAAGAAGTGGAACAGATACTAATTAAGATTCATGACAAACAACTGGTGCTTTTAGCCAATGGTGGCAAAGATCTCTGTCCTCATCATTAGTTAGTTACATTCCCGCTGACTCTGCGGGACGTCTGCGTGAACATACACTTTTTTTTTATCCATAAGTGAAATCAGCAAAAAGAACTTTGTTAACTGAACACACAAAGTGCAGCTCACTTTTATCTGCGTTTTACCTCCAGGCTCCTGCAGGAACAGTTAAAGCTCGGATTAGTCTCAGATAAAATGACATTAAATATCTCATTAACCACATTAAAAAGGAGATTAGATGATGAAACATCCCACAACAACTGCTGGTAAATGTTCTGGAAGAGGATTTCAACCCAAAGCCATCTCTCTCAAATAAAGAAATATGTTGTTTAGCAGTGAATTTCACAACTCTACAGAGAGACGTGTCACTGTATATTAAAGCAACTCTAACAATTAGATCATGTGCCACTTCGGTACACAGTGGAGAAGCTAACAGGACAACAGTGAGTTATACACACACAGGGAAACGTGTTAACGTCCAGATAAATAAGACAGTTATGGATTCAATAATCAATCGACCACAGATCATTATTTGCTGAAGTTTGGAATGTGTCTTCAGTGATTGATAATTATTCATGCTTTTGTGCCACTTGACAGTGACGGAATACGGTCAGCTCGTTTGCATTAAAGTGGTTTATTACTCGACTCATTTTGGGAGCAAACCAAGAAAAGTTGTTGCAAATCAGTTGAGTCTATTTGAGTAAAACGTTTTTAAAGTCAAGCATGAATGTGCCACTTCAACAAAGTACAATTAAACTGCTGATCAAACTAAAATTGTTAATGTAATTCACCAAAAATGACGGTTTGGAGTTTTCCTTTCTTACTTATCATTCTTATTATTATTTTGTATTAACTCTGCAATCATTTCAGAGCCAGCCCCTCCCATTGACCTGCCCTCCATCAGTGATTACCTGCTCACACTCTCCCTCACCTGCTCCCCATTCGCTAATCAGCTCCCCCAGTATATATACCAGACCACTTCCACCAGTTCTGTTTTGGTGCCGTGAGTCTTAGCTTGCACCCGACTCTACCTGAGTGTTTGACCTTTCACAGTTTCCCCCAGACTACGATTTAGCTTGGCGTTTACCTCGGTTGCCCCTGCCTGAACCTGCCTTTGTTGAGTCGTTGTTTTGGGGTTTCTTTTGTTCTTGATTTCTGACACATTGAGGTATATAAAATAAGCTAAGATACCATTGTTTTTGTAAAGATGGAGCAGAGCTTTCACCCTCTGTGGTGCAGGACTGCAAACCAACTCGAACACACACACACAGAGTGTTGAGAAAGGGACAGATGCTCCAGCTAGTTATAAAAAGTCCTGCTGGATAATGAAGGAAATCCAGTTTCACACAGAGAGACCAGATGATAACTAAAAGTTTGGAGGACTAAAAAAAGAACAGACTACGTATAATGGCCGTGGTTTTTGGTCTAGTTTGTTTATCTAGGCACAGTATTCATATGCCTCATTCAGTGTCTTTGTTCCAGAGAAATCCAGAGGGTTTAATCAGTTAATGAGTTGCTCTTCCTCCCTGTGTTCAGCAGACAGGTGGGGCCCTCTCACTGTACGACCCCCCCCCCCCCCCCCCCCCCCCCCCGCTGCAGGGCCCCTGTGCAGCCCTCTCTGTTAGGCATCAACGCGTGAATATAATTAGACAGAAGCAGAGAGACTGCACTCTGCATCCAGAGGAACTAACCAGGACTAGTTGAGCAGCAATGGCTACAGAATGACATGGAAAGGGAAGAAAGAGATGTGAAGATGATTTCAACTGCGGAAAGATTGCAGGCATTTTATTAAGCATGCCAGTTTGTAAAAAAAAAAAAAATCATACATCCTAGGCGGCCACTGGCTTCAGTTCACTTTAGGACAATGTGAAATCAGCTCTAAAACTCAAATATTGTTTGTCAAAATGTTTTTACTGAGACTTGGAATAAGTGAAAATGTACTAACAGCATTCTTCCAAAAGCAAATTAGGGAAAAACAAATAAAAAATCCATACCAATAGTTGCATTTTCTATTACTGCCAAGAGATTTGATGGCCTTACAATGATTGGTTTATTTGAAATATGGCTAAAACCAAATATGTTTTGCTTCCCACCCAACTGTATTAATGCCAATGCCTTCTAAACTAGGTGGGGTGTTTCTTTAACCAATATTTTGTATTTCACATCCAATCCTGATCCTGATCTCTCCTCATTTGAAGCTCATTTATTAAAACCATCTCAACACAAAGTTGCTTTTGTCACTTGCAACAGAAGCCAACCCTCACCCGGCTCCGATTCTCTTTTTATTCAATATTTTTTTTAAATTTTATCTACAACTTGTACCTCACTCAGATGATTTTATACTTAACGCAGTTTGTGGTTCCTTTCCTGAAACAAGTATTGACTGAAGTCCTTTCAAGAACACAGTATTGTTCAGGCAGAGAGGGATGAAAAGTCAACATTTCTTCAGTCATTCAGTATGGAACGAGAAAGGGAGACAGGAAGAAATGAATAAAACATAATTGTGAGGAAAGAGAAGGGCTCTCTCTCTACAGTATGTTAATGTGCCATGAGATACAGTCTGCAGCGCTCCGTCAGGATAACAAGATTACTGATGAAACATGTATGACAGGCAACATAACCCCACTCTCTTCCTCTCTCTCATGCACACACATCATGATGAAAGACGCCAGTGTTTAAGTATTTAGATAAATACATATTTAAAGACTTCATCAATCAAAACAATAGCAAACCCTCACCAGCGGGATACACAGTTATATGATTACATGTATATTGTGCATTACTAGGCATGGTGATGTGAGCACTCTATTGATATAAATACTCACCGTAATGCCGTGACATTTAGCATCAATACAAATGATTCTCACGAGTTGATGAATTGTCTCCTTATTTTTGGTGACCTTTGACCTAATGCCATATTGAGTTAGGAAACGCCCTCTAAATCAACATTTTAAAAGAGTGTTTTGAGAATTAATGAGCACATTGCCGTCGCATTGACATTCAATATTGTTCACTTGTACAGAAGAAGTCTAACTGAACACATCCATTATGGTTTCTATTGGATACACTTTCCATTGTGCCTTCTCCATAATTTCCCCTGCTGAAAAGTCTATTTTGAATTCCAGATATCTCTATTAACTTATAGTCTTAATTAGCCTCCAGTAAATAATCAAGGTTTCAAGATTAAAACTTGATTTCGCTACTAATGTCTCTAAAATACAGAAAAGCCCACATCTATTCTGCAGGGCCACCCTTTTGTAGTTCTAAATATATTATAAAAATCTATTTACAATGTCAAACCCATTCAAGGAAGTGCACTCTCGGTGTTTTTTTAAGTTAAATGACAGGTAGTGATTGCCCCTGAAATCAATGTTAGTAAAAGGTTACCATCTGTTGGCCCTGGTAACATTTTTGGATACGACTAAACTAAAGCCAGGCAGATCACAGTCTGGTTACTTAAAAAGCAGAATTAAAAAAATGTTTTGCTTCAGAATTCAAAGCTTGGAACAATGTCCAACTCTACTGTAAGTCAGGACAGACAGCTCTAATACAAGCAGCAGTCCACTCACTGAGACAGAAACCGGAGATGCAGACAGGTGTGTGTGTGTGTGTGTGTGTGTGTGTGTGTGTGTGTGTGTGTGTGTGTGTGTGTGTGTGTGTGTGTGTTCACAGAGTTGGAAGCTGAAGGACATTTAGTCAGGTGTGAATGAAGCTGTGGAGACACAAAGATGATCTTTTTGGGATATTATTTAACACCTGCCCAGAGACAGGCTGCTGCTAGGTGTGTGTGCATGTGTGTGTGTGTGTGTGTGTGCGTGTGTCTTCTTCACGGTTGCGCTTCTTCACATGTTTCTCGCCCTCACATATTCTTACAGTCTCATTTTAGAGTGTCTCTCACAGGCTGAGGGGGTATGCTCAGTGTGATGACCATCAACACACTGATAATAAGCAAGTGTGTCCAAATATTACCCAGATTACTCCCTACTGTTCAACACTTACCCAACAATAACTAAACCTCCCCTGGAAGTAATTAAAAAGGGAAAAGCACAGGGCCTGTGTCTTGGGGAAAACACTTGAAGTCAAATCTTCCACAATGGCCCATAATATCGGCTTCAGATACAGTATAATACTAATATGTTGGACAGAACAAGGACTGTGGATTCTTTCAGATGTCTTAAAGCCCAGAAAATAAATCGTAGCAGCCACCATGCCATTGGAGCATCTCATTTATGCTTATTTGACGATGACATCAAACAACAGGGACTTATTAAGGTTTGGTGTGTGTTTGTTGTTGTTGTGTGTGTGATAGACAAATGATGCATCATTGACAGTGATTGAGTGGCAGTCCACGATACAAAGAAGCTGACCTCTCCATCATCCGGCTTGACAGACTCAGGTGACTGACAAGTTTGATCACTAAACTCAGTATTTTATGCCAAAATAAAAGCAGAAATGGTTCCAGTGTTTAAAATGGCCAATCGGTAGTGCAGTCTGTATGCAATGATTGATTGATTAGAGCGGAGAAATAAACATCGTTGTGCTTCAGTGGGGATTAAAACAAGCGCAATTTGCTTTTTGCCTGGTTGTCGCTCGACTTTTGACCCCTTGACCTTTTTCCTCTAGGGCCACCAGCAGGAATAATATCCAATTCAAGAAATCCTATTCATACGAAGAGCTTAAAAAAAGCTATAAGTGTACACATGTCCGCAGATCTGTCAATATACAGGAAATAAGCCGATATCTGAATAACTCATATTGATTCAACGTACTATGGAAAGATATACACCAAGATAGAAGACTCCCTCTCATACAAGTATGCAAACAAAATATGGGATAAAAATATGGTTGGGATGCTCTGTTTTTTTGTCTCGCTCACACACACTCACACACAGTGGAGGGATCAGTTCTGGAGCATGCCTCAGAGCAGCAGTTTGAAGCATTCACACAGAGGATTTGCAGCATCTCCTTCTACTGGAACAAAGAATTAATGGCCGCACTTTGCTTCACAGTGCAACCTCAAACACAGAAAAATGCCTAGACTTGGATTTCTGTGCTCGAACATACACACGGGTACGTTTAATACTGTTTTAAACTGATTCGCTTTTGACAGCAACTCTGGAGATCTGGACTGTCTTTTTAAAGATGTTGTTTAGGGTTGAAAACTAGAACAGTTTCATCTGACTTTGACATCGTTTTCATGACTTGGCCATTGTGTGAAGTCTACTGTCAATCTGTCAGTGTGGATGTGTGTTCAGTTGGTACTCACTACTTATAGGTCTCCGAGCGCACATATTCAAAGACGTGGGAGACGCCCAGCTGGAACTGGTCTGCGATGGGAGTGACCCAGGGATTATTCTCTGCTTTGAACACCTGTTTCGGACCGGTCAGATCCAGATTACCTGCAGGCAGAGAGACACACAAAGCATGGTTTACAAATACTAATCATTTGATGTCATCAATCTAGTTTGGTGGTGTGTGTGTGTGTTGTGTGTGTGAGGTCAGTACCAAGCTCAGGGGGCAGGACAGTCAGTCTGTTGCCCTGGATGTGGAGCTCTTTGAGTTGAGCCAGGTCCCCGATCTCCTTGGGCAACGAGATCAGATCATTATCCCTCATACTCAACTGGACAGGAGGAAACAAGACACACTTATTAAACACACAATATCTGAAACCTCCACACAAAAACAGCATTGTGAATGATTTTAAAGCACACACAATTCATCCTTTAAAGTGACAGATACCAAACAATCTAAACTCCACTTCATAATTTCAACTGAAGATGTCTAAAGTGTGTATGCTTGGTCTGAAGTCCCCATGAGGTTTGTATTTTTCTTTTAAAGATTCAAGTGGAAAAAGGCCTGTTTCTTCAGTAAGTACACGTCATTTATGCGGCCCCTTGAAACTTCTATATATATATTTTAATCATAATAGAACTACAACAATAACGGGATCTTGTTATAAAGAGAGACTTCCTGTCTGACACATATAAAGATGTCTGAGCAGAATACAACTTCATTGTGTCTGTCACATTAACTTACTATTTGCAGCTTGCCCAGCTTCCCGATGTCGGCAGGCAGGGCCTCGAAATCGTTGTCACTCAGATAGAGGGCACGGAGAGTAGCTGCAAAACGAGCATCTCTGTTAGTGAGTGTGTGTGTGTGTGTGTGTGTGTGTGTGTGTGTGTGTGTGTGTGTGTGTGTGTGTGTGTGTGTGTGTGTGTGTGGAGTCATAACCAGACTGGATTCTGATCGATACCGCCAGTCAAGCCTGATTAATAATAGTGCCTCACAAACTGGACAGAATCAATCCACGCAGACCTTCTGCACGTCTCACAAGACAGCCGACGCACAAGACAGCTTTGTCAGTGTGCGGAGAAAAAAAAGAAAAAGGGTCAGCCTCTCTCTATGTGGGGGGAAAAAAGGATTGTGCAAAGAGGGAGTGACAATGTTGTCTCATAACTGTCTCGAGGATACGCCTTTATTTTGAAATTCCCATGGCATGTACGTGTCACCATTTCCGCTGAAGCGCAGCTCAATCCTACAGAGACAAATCATTTTTGGTGGGAATATGATTTCATTTTAGGTCTGTTTAAGATATATAGGTATTGTAATGTGTTGAAAAATGTGATTACCACCCCTAGTAGTTCCCTTAACATGACTTACTGTATGGTACATTTTGAAACACCCTCTTTTGCACAAATACAAAGTTACAAAACCAATGACTAAACATATTGCCAAAATTAAATGTCTGTCCTGGGTGTACCTCAGTATCCAGAGAGTGATCTTTATGAACTAGGATATATATATATACTCATAAACATGAGGTCATCCGACATGTTGTCCACCTTATTGGATGTTGTGCGGTTTGATGGAATGGCAAGACGCTTGTGATCATAGTGAAGGGATGGATTATTATTAACCCCATGTTGTCAGTTTCACAAACTTGTATTTCCTGACATGTTTTATATTACAGCTCCATTTCAAAATGTGGATTCGAGGTGTAGGGGAAGTGCTGTGGTGTCCAAACTGCCTGACCTGGTGTCTGTGAGTGGAACACTTCTGGATCATCACTGTGGACATGTGGACAACCAGAGCTGTGGTGAGGGTGAATAATAAGCACCGACAGTGAGGAGGCATAAGAAAAACAACATTTGGAGTGCTCTCTGGGTTAGGTTAGGTATTCTCAAGAAGGCCCAGTCACACCAGTATCTGGGACAAATAGTTGGGTTAGTTAGGGTTAGTTTTAATTCATTTGAAAAGCAATCATCAGTGGTAAACTTAGGCTGTGATTTTGCAAAGAGTAACCTTGTTCAATTGTTTAAATCATACAATAAGCAAGTCCACCACAATAAATATTAGGATTAAGAATTTGACATGTCTTGTAATATCAAAAGAATGTGTTTGGGGAATACAGTTTTTTGTTTTGCTTTCATGCCGATAGTGAAAGAGAAGATTGAGACCACTGTCATAGCAACCTCTCTACAGCTCATTAAATAACGCATTTAGACTAGTTTGTGTCATACAAAAATGTTGAGTGTGTGTGCGTGTGCGTGTGCGTGTGTGTGTGTGTGTGTGTGTGTGTGTGTGTGTGTGTGTGTGTGTGTGTGTGTGTGTGTGTGTGTGTGTGTGTGTGTGTGTGTGTGTGTGTGTGTGTGTGTGTGTGTGTGTGTGTGTGTGTGTGCGCACTCACTGAGGTAGAAGAAGTTTCCGGGCAGAGAGCTCTGGTTCAGGTTGTTGTAGGTGAGGTCCAACACTTCCAGAGCTGGCAGTGAACCGAATCCTCTGGGCAGGCCGCTCAGACGGTTCATGCTGTACACACACACACATAAAATATACATTACAGACACAAACCCACCGCTTTAGGATTAAGCAACACTCTAATCAAACAAATTAATTGCATAATTTCAAAATGTTTTCAGACCCAGCTGAGCTTTTCCTCACAGAATGTCTGAATTTAACAAATTGTCAAATTATCAGCCGTCAGACGTTGCCCTGCGTGTGGGTGTGGGTGTGTGTGTGTGTGTGTGTGTGTGTGTGTGTGTGTGTGTGTGTGTGTGAGTCAGCTTATCCTCACATCCTGTAGGTGTCTGAATGGTGTGGACTGGAGTGCCGTATTTAGCCTTTTTAGAACACTTTGTGTTAGATAGTTAGATGGATCGCTAATGTAATGAACTCTCTCTAATCCACTGTTACTGCTCTTTGGTCACATGAGGCTACCATTTAATAACTTCAAATCAAAAATGTTGCTACCAAATGTTGTCTGTATATCCCAAGCATAGTAGTAGTTGTAAGACATTGTTGGTTTTGGGCTTAGTTTATTGGGTTTTTTGACAATAGAAAACAAGGTAAGTGGTCTGCTACTTTATAGCCTAGTGTTTTTTTATTGGACAAAACACTTTAAAATCATTTGAACACAAACTCTGGAATCCACAAAAGCACAGTTATAGACAGTTATGTAAGAAGCATTGATAGTTGAACAAAATAAATATGTTCCAAAAAAAAAGGTGAAAAGCTAGCATATCCAAGACATCAAAGTCAAGGATTACAAAATACTGACATTTAAATATTAGTATGTGATTTGATTTGATTGAAACATGTATTTTTGTGGCTTTTTGTTGTTGTCTGTACACATACTTGGATTCAAAATAAATGCCATTGTTAAAATGCCACTTCCGTTTCCAGCTAGTAGTGCCTATTAGCTCACTGTGCTATAGTGGAATTTAGCTTAACCCTAACAGAATTGACTTGTTACACCAAACACAGACATCTTCTGAAATGTGCGACCATACTCATAATTCTTGACCTCGTCTTCCCAAACTTGTCCTCCAGCTTCTTGCTGTTTGTTTGTTGCTCGCCCTTGTGGACTCACCCTCACCACATCCAAATAAATAAGGAAGCAAGGACGGACAGATTAGCAGCCGGGGGGGGGGGGGATTTGATGATGTAAGAAACAGCGGCTGAGTGTATGCACACATATCTGCCTGTGTGTGTATGTGTGACAGGTCGCAGGGACGAATGTTCAATTTCAATTCTATGATGTGTGTTTGACAAATGAGATTAAGCATTTACAAGGTTCAAACACACATATGCATGTCCCTCTGATAAACACACACACACGCGCACAGGCAGCAGCAAAATAAACAGCGGATGAAAAGTGAATGCGCCGCCTGAATAACAGTAGGGGGCTTACACTATCCAGATGATGTTTGTCTGTGGATCAATACACACCAAGGCTTCCCTCCTAATCCTCCTGTCACTGACACTGTGTAAGCCTGCACTCACATCAAACACACACATGAAGCATCTCCAGCCAACAGGTGAACCTCCCTCACCTACTTGTTAAACAAACACACTTCCACATCTTTTTGAGAATGAGAGTTTTTTTATTTTCAAATGACAACTCTCAGCGTCAGGACATGTGCAGCCCAGTTTTGAGGTCTGAAAAGGGGAAATTAAGTATCAAACGGAGGTCTGATTAAACCTGCAGTGACACCACCCTTTTGTGTGTGTGTGTGTGTGTGTGTGGGACATACCCGAGGTTGAGGTGTTTGAGCTTCTGCAGACTGCTGATCTGAGTCGGCAGCTCTTCAATCTGGTTGTTGAACATGTTCAGGACCTCCAGGTTCCTCAGCTCAGAGATGTTGGCGGGCACCGCTGGAGGACACACACAAGGGAGAGAAAAGAAAAGTATATCAGACACACACATACACAAGTGTAGGCAACCCATCATTACCAGTGGCATTCAACACCATGCCATGCAATATGGTTAAAAAAGACTAGACTCATTTTGATTTGACTGAATTGACTTAAATGTCTGCTGACTGTAATCTGATCAAATCCCTGATAATCTGATTACTAAAAAGGGACATTTGACACAGGACTACGACTCAATAAATAGAAAAATGCTAACCAAATAAAGAGAGAAAACATTTTTGAATGAAAGCAATGACTATAATTTCACCTAAATATTATTACTTTTGGTCGAAAACCATGAATTCATGATTAAAACGGGACACAACATCGCCATCTCAAAAGTAGGAACTGGACGGAAATCTCAAATAGCTGCCACAATTAACACACACACCTTTTCAAGATGTTCCTATCTGTTAACAATGTGTTAGCTCTCATCACCAGCCCTAACTCCTGACAACAGGCTCTCATCATTAGCCGCGGGACAAACCTCCGTCATTAAGTCTATTAGCGGATGTGGTGACATTTCAACAGCACACATATTGCAGTTTCTCTCCTCACTTCCATCTTTTATTCCCCCGTGGTGCGCGGCCACAGAGGCGGACACAGATCAATGGGCTGATAACAAAGAGCAGGACGTTTATTGGATTATCACACTGATCAATGGACGCAGCGCTGAAGAAGAGGAGGAGGAGAGTAAACCGGCCGGGCCCTGACCTGAATGCTGCCGGGAGAATGAGTGCCGGAGAGGTGAGGGCTGGGCATACTGATACTATATCAGAGTGTGTGTGTGTGTGTGTGTGTACAATCACACTACAGATGTGTTTTAACCTGCTATTTATGAAGATGTAAACTAGCTTCCTTAAAAAAAAATGACATTTGGTACACACACACACACACACACACACACACACACACACACACACACACACACACACACACACACACACACACACACACACACACACACACACACACACACACACACACACACACACACACACACACACACCACACACACACACACACACACACACACACACACACACACACACACACACACACACACACACACACACACACACACACACACACACACACACACACACACACACACACACACACACACACACACACACACACACACACACACACACACACACACACACACACACACACACACACACACACACACTAAAATTCCTTTGCCTCTAACATTGTGAATAACACTGCAATAGCAATATCAGAACATTAGTAATTTGTTCAATATCGTGCAGCCCTGGTTTTTTATTTATCTATAAATTAATTAATTTCTTTCAATAGGAAACAGCACAAAACCTTTTTTCATTTAGACACTTTACAAGGGGAACAACACTATTTCTGTACCCTTTAAGCAGAAGCCAAAGCTGAGACTAATCCCCCCCAAAAAACTCCAATTGGCCAATTCTTGACAAATGCCAAATGTGGTTTACATCCTTAAATGTGTTAGCTGTGTATCACAATATCTGGATAAAGGATAGCATCACAATATCCTCCATTGAAAGGTGATAAATCATTGTATCGCCCTTCTCTCTCTCCTGTTGGTTACAGTACAGCCAACAGATAGCTGGAGAATCAGTGAAGACTCTGTCTGGTTCTAAAGGTCCCTCTTCTTCACCGAGGATGTCTGAAATCAATTTCATTTAGCCGGCATCTCCCTCTGCGGGCCACTGACCAGAGTTCAATCGATGCAACACCCCAACCTCCTCTCAGGTGGACAACACAGTATTTACAAGTCTTCCGCACAATATATGATATTGATTTCCATATTGTCTCATCTGCCCTGCGTGCTGGTGTGACCTGGGGGAGCTGCTGCATTATAAGCTTGTTTGTTTCTGTGCTGGAGGAAGAAACCCCCCCCCCCCCCCCCCCCCCCCCTCGCGCGCAGTTATGCGTGAACAACATGACAGGTGTTGTAGTGTTAGTGAGATGGGATGCGTTGTGAAAATGTACGATTTGATCTCGGATCGAATCTTGTTGATTGTGGTGAAAATCCATTTTAGGGATATTGGTGGACTCCTTCACGAGTGACTGAGCTGTGTAGTTCACTATTATGGTAGAAAAGTGAATAATACACTGCGATTTTATAAAAATACTGGAATTATCATGTAAGAAAAGAACAGAATTGCATACGTTTTCATACAAAATGTTAAGCAGTTATGTTATGATGCATGATAACCCTGGTACCTTCCAAATTGACGTGAATATGTACATAAAACATAATTATTCATATATGTAAACCCTGTTAGTTTTCATTTAAACTGCTCCTTACATTCTTATGATTTGATTTTATGATCCTTGTGTAAGCTCTTACCTCTCCTATCCTGTGTTTCACTCTTATGGCTGTTGCTGCTTTGAAACCTGAATTTCCCTATGGGGATTAACAAAGGTTTATCGTACCTCATCTTATCTTATCCTGTCTTACTCGAAGACTGATTGTGTGTTTCTTGAGAAAAAGGATGTCCTATCTGTGATGCAATAAAAATACGTTTCACAAAAAATATTTAGTAAAGTGATTTCAGTTTGTTATAGAGACATTGCATATGTTGATGATTATGGGGATACAATCAGGAGTTGCAATTATGTCCCCCCCCTGATAATCAAGTTGTGACATTTTAACATCGTCATTGATACAGGACAGTCATATTAGCACCATCAGCAGCCAGTCGAGCCCCCTCTCTCCCTGCTAAACTTTCTAAATATTACAATAACTCTCCACTACATCCATACAGCAGCAACATCGCCTCCTTCCTGTTGGCTGCTGAAGCTGTATTTGTAAAATCATCAAACTACACTGGATAAGATCAAGGAGAGGAGCAGATGGATCCAATATTTCCCGCTCCCTCCTCACACTGCAGGCTGAGAGTCACCTAACAAGGCAGGAGTTACTGAGCATACCTCTACAGTGCCTGCAGGTCGGTAACTACGCCAATTATGTTATACCCCATTTCTGTCTGATCGGGGCTATAAATAACCTCGCAGTGTGTTATCTCTTCATCTCAGATTAGAAAGCAGAAGGTGGATCACAAGGTGCATGTCAAATATATTTGATCAACGACATCAAACAGAAATCATGCCCACCTTAACAGGTTATTTACTGTATTCATTCGGTCTAACAATCCCCTTTATCTAGGGTTTTTCCTACATGTCTGGATACTTAGTACTGATTGCATTACGTTCAGTCTACGGTGACCTCTGCTGGTGCAAAAACATCCCTGCATCCCTTCACTCCAATGGACTAAAGATGACCACAATATACATTCTTCCTATCAGTCCTCCTATTATTTACAAAATAAGCTAACACACTTAATGAGTCTCACTGTTGAAGCAACCATTCCTTTAGCAATTTACCAGTAATTCATGATTGCCAGTGAAGCCTCAATTTTATTTTCCTCATGAATCCCTCCTGTGAAACTGTTGTGATAGTAACATGAATTGTAATATTTCATCTTAATGAGCTAACAAAGTAGTCTGCACATTTCTGGCTACCGTTGCAAAACACAGCTTGAGAAAAGGCTGAGTAGTTCTGCTAATTCTAAGTCCTTATAAGTCCTTTTTACTCTGGCTTTTTGATTTAACCATTTAAGGGTCAGGGTGTTGATGTTGACCATGTTTACTCCACAGGGTTACTTGCTGCTGTGGGGCAGTGTGAGCTGTGTCGGGGGGGCGGTGGAGGATCTTACCTGTGAGCTTGTTGTGGCTGAGGACCAGCTGAGTGATGTTAGACAGAGTGACTGAAACCACAGGAAACATCAAGTCAACACAGCAGACAACTGATACACATGCATCCTACCACTGATACATACTACTTTGTAAGAACAGATATGAATAATATACAAGCAGTAAAGTTATTATTATTTAAGCCTAAACATAGTTTGATGTAAAATAACTCAAGTAATACCCTATTTATGTAATGACATAATCAAAAGCAACAGCATAGTACACTATTAATTTAATGTCAGCGATTATTATGAGGGGTACTGGCATAGCTATATATTCCACGCTGATTCATCATGAACAGTATGTGACATGCCAAATCTGAGAACTAAAATATTAAGGGTTGTTCACATCAGTAGTAACTTTATCCTCTGATTCGAGGCAAAATGTTGAGTTATTTTGACAAATGGTATCTTCCATAATGTATGATTTAATAACATGTGAACTTAGCCTGATCAGAAATGTAATAACTTAACCAATAATGCAATAAACTACCTGATATGGTAATAACTTCCTAATTAATAGTCATTTTAGAAGATGAAGTTATTATATTATTGGATTTATTTACATTTTGATCTGGTTCAGTGCTAATATAAAACAACATCAGGCGTTTTTACATGTTCAGGATTAAATTAATGGATGCTACATTAATAATAAAGTGTTATTTGGTTAACAGGCTAACGGTTTTAATAAAGTTTTTTCAACACTGTAGACAAGGCAGGCTGGGTGACGTCACCATCACTGAGTAATACGTTAATACCACAGTTTTTACCTATTTTATCAAGTCTACGTTTCTCACAAGTATGTATAGTATTCTTTATGTACAACAGGTTAGCATAAAGGCGGTTTTAACAGCAGCAGATTCACTAAAGTGTTGTGGTGAAAGGAAAAGCCTTACACAGTCCTGGGACGTCCAACATGTTGGAAATGCCTCTGTCGCACATCTCCACCTCCGGGATGTTCTTGTCCCGACTCTCCTCCACTATCTTCTTCAAAGACTTGGACATCTTTTCTGAAAAGCATTGATATAAAAACAGTACAGCGTGTTACTGAGTTGTAAAAGTCGTCCTTCGTTAGCTACAGTGTAACGATAAAGAGACCCTAACTCACTCAGTCGGGTACCAGAGGAACTGAATGTGCTATGTATGCTAACACAAAGAAAAACACTTATTTACTTACCGTTTGTAAAAGATGAATGAAATCAGAAATGTATACTAGCTTTTTTTAATTCCTCATAGAGTACGCTTGAAGCTGACACCCTTCCGGAAGTTTATTTGTGAGACACCATTCCTTAATAGGATACTTCCTGTTCCTGAAGCCGCGCCTCCGCGTCAAATTAAGAGCTCCTAAACCTCCAAAGCAGTCTCTGTTTCAGTCCTAAAACTGAACCAAGATCCAGGGGAGAGACAGCAGCTGCAGGGTTGGGAGGTGTAATAATGTTAAAAATAAGTAAACAACAAACAAAGGTTCTTTTCCTACCGATTGTTACTTTATCTTGATGGAAGCTGGATGAAACACTGTGTATTTGTGTTACAAAAGCAGAAAAAACGTGTATTTCAATCTCAGTTTTACCTTTTTATTAATTGTTTTAACAGTAATAATATTTGCTTGATATATAGAAGTCTACAATATTGCTTATGTGCGTTTATCCTGTGTATTATCACAATTGTGATCACTACAGCAAATATTTGATATGTGTCAATAATGAGGTAATTTGTTTATTTTATCATAAAATTACATTTTTGCTCCTACAGTGTAGGAGATAATTGAGGAATAGACACGTTTGTAGTATGTAGCAGTCACACCTCCACAGTTTTGGGTGCAGTCCTGTCTCCATTCCACATGATGGCGGTAATGCGCTGATCCGTTGTTTGACAACCTTAATAAAATACCACGAAGAAGAAAAACTGTAAACAGAAATGTGCCATGGAGAGTCTGCGTGTGCTCGAGCTGTACAGTGGGATAGGAGGGATGCATTATGCTCTCAAAGGTTAGTTTATCGTTGTTAAATACTGATTTTAGTTTGTTACTGATACTTTAAAAGTTATAAATCGTTCAGGATGGAGATTGGACATGTTTCTACCACGCTGCAGGGCTGAATGACTGAATACAAATGTTCCTGGGAGTCCTAAAGTGTCCAAATCGCAAATCCTGATATATCATATCCCCATGGAGCCTTAAGAGGACTGTCTGTGGATAACTAGTCTTTATATAACCATACCCCAGCCTGGAGTCCCCCATAATCTATACTAATTTGTATGTGACGATTTGTATGCCATTTCAGCTTGAGCTGTCCTGTCCACAGTTTTTCTGATCATATATTATGGTGTTCCATTGACAAAGTGTTATAAACAACTAATGGTACAAAAATAAAAATTCTGTTAAAGGAGGAATGAGATTATTTTACGCATATTGGTTTGGGTTGAGCTAAAAAACAAAGCATAAAGTAAAACAGTAGCTGATTATTTTCCTGTAGTTCATTTTCAGTTTTTTCTTCCTCCAGAGAGTGGCATACATGCTGAGGTCGTGGCTGCCATCGACATCAACACCACAGCCAATGAGATCTACACACATAATTACCCTGACACCCCCCTCTGGAACAAGACCATTGAGGTGTGTGAGAGTGGAGCGTTTGGGTATAACTGCATGCATCCAAACAAAGCTACAGAGATCAGAATCAGAATACCTTTATTAGTTCCACGGAGGGGAAATGTGTGTAGTTACAGCAGGAAAAAGAGCCACAGACATCTTAATGTTACGTATGTTAAATATGTGACATGCATTAAAAAAAAGTACTAAGTTATGATAAAAAGTTACATAATTTAAAAAATACACATCCTGTAACAGTTCTTAGGATTTAGCAGCCAGGTATATATTACACAGTTATTAACGGCATCTATATATATTGCACATATTGCACATAGCTGGTTGGTATTTAACAGCAGCAAGTTACACAATTTACAAAATACAAAATACACACCTTGTAACAGTTCTTAGGATTTAGCAGCCAGGTATATTACACAGTTAATAACGGCACATATTGCACATAGTTTGTTGGTATTTAGCAGCAAGGGGTGATATAGTCTGTTGTGGTGTGTGTGTGTGTGTGTGGGGGAGGGGGGGGGGGGGGTCTGGTGCTGGTTGTATAGTCTGACCGCTGCAGGAAGGAAAGACCTGCGGTATCTCTCTGTGAGACAGCGGGGGTGCAGCAGCCTATCTCTGAAGGATAGGATTCACACCTCTATTCAGCTCGATAATGGGATATTGAAGATGAAGGGACAGAAATCCATCATTCCTTTGAAAACTCTAATTTTCTGTATTTTCTTTTACCCTTTAGGGAATAACGCTAGAGGACTTCAATAAATTATCTTTTGACATGATTTTGATGAGCCCTCCTTGCCAGCCTTTCACCAGGTAGGTCTTGTGTTTTGGGATTTCAGTCAGATAAATCTTTTTTGTGAAGTTAACATGTTTTGTACCTAAACGTTATCATAGTAACCTTCTTCTAAATCACTATTACATGTCTTTAATCGATTTCAAAAGGTTTTCCTCTGAAAAAGTTATCCTTCTCTCTGTGCAGGATAGGACTTCAGGGTGACATTAATGACCCCAGAAGCAAGAGCTTCCTCTACATCCTAGATCTTCTGCCAAGGTCTCTTTTTATTCCCAGATTCAACTTTTTATTGCCATCCTGTCAACCTTGATAAAAACATATTTTCATATTGAAATCACAAAGTCTAGCCAAGCCCAAGAACAGAGTTATTATTTGTAACTAGTTATAGCTTTGTGAACGTTTAACTGACACGTTTTCTCAACAATAATGTCCCTTACATATGACTGTTTTTCAGGCTGTGCAGGCTGCCCCGCTACATCCTGCTGGAGAATGTGAAAGGCTTTGAGACCTCCGCTGCCAGGTAACAATGGAGGCAGCAAGTGTGCATTAAAAAGACCAGAAACGTCACTATGTCAGCATGCAGCCACATTCTGTTGTATACTTAAATTATTGTATTTATTATGTGATTTGGATTCATTCCAATGTCAATCTCATGTGATGATATTTACCTTTAGACTTCATCTGCCATGTTATACTTCCAATCTCCAGGGATCGTTTGGTGAAAACGCTCACTGAATGTGGATACACTTTCCAGGAGGTCATGGTCTCACCCACAAGTGTAAGAAAAACAGAGTATGAAAATGTCATTGAATACATCTTCACTTTAAGTTGTATTTATTATATTTCTGTTCTATTTTTTAAATCCAGGTTGGGATCCCAAATTCAAGACTGCGTTATTTCCTGATCGCTAAGATTTCAACAGAAAACCTCAGCATCCAGAGTTCAAAGGTGAGACTAGCTGTTTCAAATACAATACTAGTTAGCTTCCAATGTTGACCTAATTTGGAGCTCGCATACCTCTGTACCTCTGGTACAAAACATAGTTAAAATATAACATATCTATAATTGTTGGATATTTTTTTATGTTAGAACCCCAGAATAGTGTTTGTATCCTCATGCGTCTTTTGATAAAGCTTGTAATCTTAGATTTTAGATGCCTTCCCACATCCCGCTGAGCAGCCCAAAGTCCTGAGTCCCAGCGCAGACACCTGCCAGCCTGAGGAGGAAGTGCAGGAGGGTCATGTCCTGTACAAGCTAGAGACGAAGACAGATGCCCAGAGGAAGATGAGCCAGAACAACGATCTGTCTCTCAGGCTGATCCAAGACTTCCTGGAACCACAGATAGACATGGAGCTGTATCTCCTTCCTCCTAAAACCCTGCTGAGATACGCTCTGCTCTTAGACATAGTTCGGCCCACATGTAGGAGGTCTGTCTGCTTTACCAAAGGGTGGGTACTCTTCAAAATTACTCCATTAGTGCAATTTTGGCAGAAGAAATGCATGGCAATTGGAAGCAAAACTCAGTGACACTTATATGGGATAACATGGCAGAAAAAAACATTAATTGAAGTAGTTTTTTTTATTGATTTGTTAATGTGTTGTATCTCTAGATATGGGCGGTATGTGGAAGGAACTGGCTCAGTTATGCAGGGCTGCGTGGAAACAGAGGTAGGTTTTGATTTCAGTACAGGCACATTTATATTATTAGTTCAAAGTTTGTTTTGCCACATTTGTAATTGTAAGTGTGTTGAGGGGTTTTGTTTTGTGTGCTCTGCAGATGGAGAGTGTGTTTACAGGTCTGGACCAGTGCGCTGAAGATGAGAAACTCCAGCGGCTGTTGAAACTGAAACTTCGTTATTTTACTCCTAGAGAAGTTGCCAACCTCATGGGCTTCCCTCAAAGCTTCAGTAAGTAAAAAAAAGACAGATTTATATCGATTCCTCTTTTTAACTTGTTCATAATGTGATATTGTGTTTTTATTTGTATTTAATGGATTACTGCACATACCCAATTGTGTATATGTTGTCTAAATATTTTTTTAATGAATGTTTCAGCCTTTCCGAAGAAGACCACTACCAAGCAGCAGTACAGAGTTCTAGGAAACAGCCTGAATGTCGTGGTGGTGGCCAGACTCCTGCAGGTGCTGCTCTCCTAGCACTCGGCACTCTCTGAAGGAGAAGACCATCCTGTCTTTGCAATTCTTCTAAATGTGTAGTCCAATTTTTTTGGGAATGTTAAGTTTGATAAAGTGGGCCAACTTGTAAGTGAACAGTTTCATGATTCTTACATTTCACTTCAAACAGTACATTTCTCTTTCTGATGGACATTCATATGTTTGCTTATATGCACAATTAAAGCTTTTTTTAATTAAATTAAAATCAAAAAATAAAACTAACCTGTGAAGTACTCATTGTTTGTGTCTCTTTTAATGTATATTTGCCTGCAGTCGATAGATGTGCTTTAGTTAACTTGTTCTCTAACTAGATGTGATGTTAATAGATGGACAGATAATGTTACGTCGATATGAGTGAGATTATACACTAATAAAGTTGTTAGTTTCAACGAACTAAGACATAAACGTCTTTAGACAGTTTGACCTCACCATGTAAATGTTAGGCTAACATGAATGCTAACTTTTTAGCATGATGCTAATTAAAAGACAAACATAGATCTATCAAATGTAAACATCGAACGAACGTGGAAGCAGCGATGTTTCGCACCAGAAGGAAGTACCTGAGTCTTTCAAATGGTAAGTTAACTTTCTGTATAACCTTATATATCTTATAAAGTATAAAAACAGGGGGAAAGCAGTATTTTGAAAATCAATCAAATATACATAATTAAGGAGTTACCAAGTTTGTGTTCAGTAGCTAGCTAAACAGTTAAAGTTAGCTATTAGCAAAGAGGACACATTAGTTAGTGCACGGGCAACTAAAGCTGAAGCTATCCATGAACGTTCCTGTACTCCATACTCTATCTATTTACCAGTTAGGCAAATATAGACAATTCGTATTTTAAAAAATAGTGTGTTTTCTTCGCCCACTTTGGTTTGCTGAAATAGTGTTGAAAAATAAAAAAGGTATTGGAGAATGCGGGCATCGATCCCGCTACTTCTCGCATGCTAAGCGAGCGCTCTACCATTTGAGCTAATTCCCCGTCCGGATCTATTGGTGTCAAAGTGCGTATTTGAAACCACCAGAGGACACATTTATAACTGAAGCTAACGTTTGAAAAAGGGTATCAAAATGATTTCGGACAGAACAGACGCGGCTTTTTAATACTTTAGCGAAATTGTATTCGTTTATTTCTCTATATGGCTCTACGTTAAATGCGCATTAGATGTTCAAATAGTTATGTTTCTGGTGTTGTAGCAGCTCCCTTCGATAGCTCAGTTGGTAGAGCGGAGGACTGTAGTGGTTACATGGAAATCCTTAGGTCGCTGGTTCAAATCCGGCTCGAAGGAGGGGTATCTTTTCCCTTTTCAACTGAGTACATTTACCGCATTATTTTAGCATAACAAGGACAGAGTTGTAACTTGATTCTTTACATTGAAAAGTAAACAATCAAAATAAATGTCACAAAAACTGGCTTATCATGGTTGATCTGCATTGTAATGATTGTTCTTAACAGTAATTGTAATCTGTAAAAAATGTTATTAACAATGTAGCAAAGAACAAAACACTTCTCTTGTGTTTTTTAACTTATTTCTTAATATAAATTGACATGTGCACACCACAAATGTTGCATTAATGCGATAGGAGTAAATGTAGTTTGGTTAATCCCTTAGTCGTTAACATTGCACTTGTTTTAAATGCTCAATTTAAATATAACAGGGCTTGTTTACTGTAAACTCTTTATACCTAAGCATGTTTTTGACATCCAGGCACATGTGTGTATGATAATGAGATAAACAGGGATACTTAGGTAACTATTTTCCTTTTTTTATTTTTAGATTGTGAGCTTCTTCCGTGACAGTGAAGCCAGTATAGCTCCAGCATAAGAAGCTTCCCATTGGCTCGTGTGCAGGACTTCTTCAGCGCCAGGTCTTCCTCTTGAGTTGTAGATAACACCTCTACGCTCAGATCAGACATCCTTCTGTATCATTACCTGCTACAAAAAGCCAGGTAAATGACCATGTACTGAACATCTAACCAGACATTACAAAATGCTACTACACATTTAACTCAAATCATACTTGTGGTTATGCTGTTACATTTTGATCTTATGATTCATACTCCTTTGTGGATGGAAACAAGAGATGTGTCACTTCAGTAACACATGAATAACAAATCAAGTTTTCACACATTCATGAAATCTGGGACTCATTTTGTTTAGCACGTCAGGACTTATTATTTTATACTAGCACTACATGCTTTTTCACATTGCACTTTTCCAAGTCTGGAAATGCAAACTGTAAGTGTTAGTAGAAGGTGTCAGGTTTGCAGCATTTCGTTTTTTATTTGGCAGGCATTAGTCTAGTATTGGAGAATATAAACCTAAAATCAGTTTCACTCCACAATTAATACCTTCTGATTACGAACTAACAAAACATATATTTTCAAATATTCTTAAGATATACTTTATTTAACCTAAATATTACTTGAATTCATTTTTGACTCGACAAGCACACTGTCCATGCAGTTACTCTTTTCACCACCAGGTGGCTCCAAATACACACAATACATTCTTATGCGTTAGTAATCTAATAGAAAAGTATGCTACAGTATAAAAATTCGGTTTATTTCTTCTAATTTAACCAGATAATAATAGCATCAACTTAAAAAAATTATGAATTAGTCGTGAAAAAAATGAAGAGCATATGATGTTAGATCAACGATACAATTGTAAATCTCATGTGTGTTTTTTTTACAGATGCACAAAGAATATGTATGTCAAAAAAGCATAATAGATGTAGGATGGGAATTTGAGCGATAGATAATGACTCTTGTATACCAACAGTGTCATCAGAGGGTAACAGGTAAATCAATTAGGGACACCTCAGCGGATTCCACTCTCTCTCCAGAGAGCTCGGCTAAAGTGCAGTCAGGGGATCGGGGTTTCAGATACTGTACCTGCGACCTCCAGGGGAATCAGCAGGTATGCAGCTCACCCGTAACCAAAGCTCCAGAGGCTGACGCTCGAGTAGTTAAACACAGCTGCCATGCTTCAAAGATGTGTGCTAGTTTCCGTGTATGTGGCAATATAAATGTCTGTGGAAGAAATTAATTAACAAAAATGCCTCCCCAATGTGCAGTGAGAGGAGTGTAAAATATGTGCAGTCCGGTGCACACACACGTGATGGGCCATTGACGCAGTTTCAGAGTTGTGTGGCAACAACAGGTTGCAAAAACTAAACTGCCTTTGTGTGTTTGACCTTCTTGCTTTATTTGTAGCAAAATACTTTCAATAATCTAGATGTGAAAGGTCCTTTTTTACCATCAGTCAAGCTAAAGTAAGATAAGATAAGATAAGATAAGATAATATGGACCTTTATCGATCCCTGTTGGGAAACTCAGGTCTTATAGCAGCAACAGTATAAGACAGAAACACAGGGATAATAAGAATACAAATGAAATAGTTCAAAATAAAGTAGCAGTAAACAATTGAATGGCTTCAGTATTGAGTATTCTGCTCCATCTTACAATCGTTCAAAACAGTTGATTTTGTAGTTTTGTTTAGTAGTTTAAAACATGAGTACCTAATTTTAGATAAAATGTAAGTCAATACACATTTTTACCTCTACATACGTTGTGTATTCTAATATCTTTACACCCCTGCTACTGTCTGTGACACATTTGTTTTTGTGTTTTGCAGTGTTGCCTTAGTTGCCTGGAAGAGATGCAGGACCTCTTTGTGGGGGGTATGATTGTGGGGAACTGCATTCAGACCCGTGGAAATGGGGAGGGGGATTATGCCTCCATTGGCACTGGGCCTGTCCGTTGCCATGGCACGTCCATTGTCCCCCCCCCCCCCAGCACATGGGCATGGCACAGTAACCTCCAGTGAAAACATTCATTTTCTACTGCTCTGTTCTTCTTGGGGAATTGATTCATGAAGACACCTTATCATGCAACAACAACAAATCAATGGTCATTATCTTGTCACATTTGGTGCCGACAGACATACCTAGACAGTAAAATGAGTCACTCTACAATGCAATCAGCATATGTTTTGAGTCACCACAAACAGTCATATGGATCAAATTGCCTTAGCCTGACAGAGCTGCAACATTTTTGCTGTTTTTTTTCTAGGCTGTATTTCAAACTCTCTGTGACTCTCAGCTCCCAAGTAGTATGAGTCATGAGAGGAAGGTAATCACAGGCAATGATGTGGACCGCTGCAGGGCAAGCCCCGTTGTGGAGGAATACCCTTGAGAAAGTCCACGCCGTTTGCAAACGACTGCTCATATAGGGCTTGGGATCGCCCTGGCTTCATAACCAATCGCGTCATTCGGCTCATACATCCTACGCGCTTCTATCCAATCAGCGTTGAGTTTATAAAACCAGCCTTGCCGCTATTGGTTCATTTCAGACAAGGGCGTTTTTTGCTCGCTCCAACAGCACCATCTCTGGCAGGTGGTGTGTGCTTTAAAATCATACAGTAGGGTAATGTTTAGGACGATAGGTAGGTAGTTATAGGGGAATAAGCACACTTTAGGTTGTTAATTTGTCGACTTTTGTTTCGTAGTTTTGTTTTACGTGCCATTACGTCTCCTTTGAAGCAACCGGAATCGCAGCGAGTGAGATTACCGTCGGGGTTCCCCTCTCTGAGACAGACACTTTGTGCTTTACAAGCGGTGAATTGCTGCTCCTTCATCATGCAGAAGAAAGAGGGAAAAGCCCTACATGTTGATTATATTTCGGCTCCGGTGTAAGTCTGAATGAGCGAAGAACCTCCCGGCGACGACTGAAACCAGGGGCTCACATCCCGGATCTGCCTCACCTCATCCGCCGGTGTAGCAATATACATTATGTTGTGTTGATTTTTTTTGTGGAAGTGGTCGTGCCTTTTGTTTTCATTTCGGGATATGTGATATGCGGATCCGCGAACGCAACAAAACACAAATGAGTTTTTTCTTCTGCTTTGAAAATGAGGAAGCGTTTTCATAAAGACCCAGAAAATGGCAAGAAGGTCTCGTCGTCCGTGGGCCCGGATTTGAGTAAAATGAGAAAGAAAGGAGCAAATGCAACAGCAGCATGATATATTTTTTTTGCCTACAGAATGACACCAAAGGAGGTAAAAAAGGTGGCGGTAGATAAGACGCAGCATCAATGAAGGCGATCTGGACAAGTTTTGAGTCGCTCATAATGAACAGAATTACTTTGCAGCTCGACAGCAGATCCTTTCCACAATATTGAAGATTGTTTTCGGCTTGGGAGATTTTCTAATTCAC